ATATTTTGGACGACATACTAAACTATGACATTTTTTCATGATTTTGGACAACATACTATACTATGACTTTTTTTAATATTTTGGACGACATACTATACTATGACTTTTTTTTCATGATTTTGGACGACATACTATACTATGACTTTTTTTCATGATTTTGGACGACATACTATACTATGACTTTTTTTTTCATGATTTTGGACAACATACTATACTATGACTTTTTTCATGATTTTGGACGACATACTATACCATGACTTTTTTTTTCATGATTTTGGACGACATACTATACTATGACTTTTTTTTCATGTTTTTTTGGACGACATACTATACTATGACTTTTTCATGATTTTGGACGACATACTATACTATGACTTTTTTTTAATATTTTGGATGACATACTATACTATGACTTTTTTTTTAATATTTTGGACGACATACTATACTATGACTTTTTTCATGATTTTGGACAACATATACTATGACTTTTTTTTTTAATATTTTGGATGACATAATTTACTATGATTTGTTTTTTTAATATTTTGGACGACATACTAAACTATGACATTTTTTCATGATTTTGGATGACATACTATACTATGACTTTTTTTCATGTTTTTTTGGACGACATACTATACTATGACTTTTTCATGATTTTGGACGACATACTATACTATGACTTTTTTCATGATTTTGGACGACATACTATACTATGACTTTTTTTTTAATATTTTGGACGACATACTATACTATGACTTTTTTCATGATTTTGGACGACATACACTATGACTTTTTTTAATATTTTGGACGACATAATTTACTATGATTTGTTTTTTTTTAATATTTTGGACGACATACTAAACTATGACATTTTTTCATGATTTTGGACAACATACTATACTATGACTTTTTTTAATATTTTGGACGACATACTATACTATGACTTTTTTCATGATTTTGGACGACATACTATACACAAGTACCTTCACATCATCTGTGCCTTGTCCCATTATCCACCTTTCCTGAAAATTTCATCAAAATCCATTCATAACTTTTTGAGTTATTTTGCAGACAAACAAAGAAACAGACAAACAACCAGACAAACAGACCAACGCTGGTGACAACATAGCCTCCTTGGCAGAGGTAATTATTACAGTTAATGATTCTTTAAGACTCAGACCAAACTGTCAGACAGACAATGAAAAAATAAGCAACTGATTGTATTTAAGGCATAATAAAAAAGTTTTAAATTTATATTTAAAGGCATAATTTGTGTTTTTTGTTTGTTTTGTTTTTGTTGTTGTTGTAGTTTTAACATTAAAACAGAATTTTAATCAACAGCCTTAAAAAAAAAAAAAAAAGCTGTTGGTTTCCTGTCTCTTAAATAGATGTTTCTGCCCTCAAGTGGCCACAAGACATAACAACAAGTACCTTCACATCACAGCATCACAGCTTCAAACCACAAACTTGTTTTCTTCTAAAGGACACACTTCCACATTGCTGAGCCCGTCAATATGGCAAATTAACTTTTGTCACTTCAAAACTGCACAGAAGTCACTGAATTTATGAATAATACTCTTATAATGTTGAGTGGTTTAAGTTTGTGAACAAAAAAAACTCTAACGTAGGTTGATGACGTAGCCTCAAGAAACATTTCCTGCACAATAAACTGACTTGTTTAGTCTTTAGAATTTACATCCATGTAAAATGAAATACTTAAATGGCTCAAGCAAGTCTGCTGTAACAAAAACATCTTTAAAGGCGAGTGTTTAAATGCAGGGACACAGACTAAGCTGCTCATAAGATGGCAGTTCTGTTTAAAAGTGGGTCTTCGTCACAGCTCTGTTGCACATCCATGCTGCAGGACTCAATGTAACATTTGTCTCTTAAAAATGTATTTTGAAATAATTATCTATATTATCCGCCAGAACCGAAGCATCATAGTCCAATAAAAAAACACGTGTGGTGAGTTTAAAAATTAAACAGAAATTAAATGAAAACAGGGCAGTCAAACACAAGCCATATGTACCTCTCCCTCCATGACCATATTATTCAGGGAAGTCCTCCCAAAATTCCCGTTATCTTTCAGTTCAATGTGCCCCTTGTCCTTTGAACTAAGTCCTTTTATTTTGGCAGTGAGCTTTTCATTGGAAACCCCCTCCAAAACTCCTGATACCACTGTGCTACACTCGTAGATTCTCATGGATCTATTTAAATTGTATTGTACAAATGTTTGCCCGGACCCAAACAATGCATGTATGATCCAGCTGTCAATTTACACTTAGTATACAAAAGGGATCTAACGGATCAGGTTTGATCTGTGCTGTCTGTGAAAATATCCCATATTGTAGCTCATATTACAGTTATGTAAGTGATTCTGAAAGTATTAAATACAGATTTTGTTCAGTGTGAAATGAATTATAAATATGTTGCTAGGTTCAAAAAGTGTCATATCCCATGTTAACTTATCAAGTTTTGAAGTTTAGCCTTTTACATTAACACAGGTCAGTGTAAAGTGGTGGGCTTGAAGCTGTTTGTGGAAATCAAAATGTAGCCTACTTTGATCTTGTGTGAAAGGCATAAGGTTAATCAAATCATCAAACAGTTCCTTTTTTAGTTTATTCATGAGAGTCATTCAGTACATTCACTTTGACATTTGTTCTTCTTTATGCAGGCTTAATGCTTTACTACAGAGCAACAGGTGGAAAGTCACTGAGCTGACTCACATACAACCTTCTTGTTTGCTATGGACAAATTGTGCGAGACGCACAAACAAAAGTGAACGTCTGAGAACACTGATGGTCGTTCCATTTTAATTCTGTGCCAAAGTTGAGGTGTCCACAGTTTTCCCGTCCTCCAGCGTTGTCTGGCTGTCCTGTGGCCCACAAGACAAACTTCACTGCAGACCCATCAGACCACATCCAACTGCCTTCTTTGTGGACATCACTGAGTCCACTCCAGGTCCATCCTTCAGCAGGGTCAAAGTTCTTGACCAGGGATTTGACAAAATTGTGTTCATTCAGACTGTGGATAGACACCAAGTTGGCTCCCTCTGACACACAGTGGAGTTCTGCATCAGCCCAGGTCATACGTGTGGCGACGTACTTGTAGCAGCGGCCGTTGAAGTTGAACCAGAACATGGGACAGGCGCCACGCTGTAGCTGCCCTTGATGCTCATCAGATGAAGACACAGCACTCAGAGCCAGACCGAACAAGAAGAGGAACAAGAGCATTTTGGAGTCTCTCTGAGTCATCAGAGAACGTGATCTGCACTGTTGGATGTTATTGAGAATCTTTCAGAAACAGCTGAAAGGTCACTTTCTTTTATACGCTTCAGAGAGGGTGTCTGCACTGTTGGCGAGATATTATTGGTCAAAACCACTTGGTAAACACTGTCACTGGCACGCGACTACACAGTATCTGAACATGAGCCAAAAAAGACCACCAGCTCACCCAGAGATGTCACATAAAACCTATAATTTATTCATTTCAGTCAAATGTTGACATAGTAAAACGCTGCTTTAGAAAAGACATGTGGCTTCAGCTTCAGGTTGAGGGGACACGAGGGGAGACGTATTGCTTTGTGGTTGACTATTTTTTTCATTTACAACTGATAAATAATAACAACATACCAAACATGGGCATGTATTTACACATCAACAATATTACAATAGTACAAAGCCTTCAGTGTGTCCTCTCTTGCATTGTGAACTTTTGTATATTTTTTTGTTTTAACATGCAAACAGGTTTTAAACAACACTGCTTTTAAAAAAAACGTAACTTTACACAGTCATGACAACGGCCGATAAAACACTAAATACACCCTCCTGTTGGTTTCCTGTCCATCACAGCATTTGACACCAGAGGAAGGAAGAGCGTCCTCACGCTGACCTGCTCTTCTGCTGCCCTCTAGTGGCCACAAAACACAAGTAGTTTTATATTCTAGCATTGCAGCTTCAAACCACAAACATCTTTTCTTTTCAAGATCGCGCCTCCACATTGTTGAATCTCTGAACATGGCACATGAACTTTTGTCACCTCAAAAATACATAAATAAACAATATCTTACAATAAATAAGTAATACGGCACAATTATTCTGCTCTTTGAACACAATGAGCAGAGGTGTGTTTGTGCATGTGTGCATCATGTACAGGTTAATCGTAAAAATGACAACCACAAGGCCTTTCTGTGACACCGAATATGAACAGACCATGGCGCTTTATCAGCTCTAGCAGTCCAAGACTCACTGACTTAGTCTACCTTTAACAGGGGGAATCCACTCTCACAATTGACAAATGTTATTCTTACAATCTTGAAGGTTTTATGAAATATTTGTGGATATGAATAAATCCTGGATGGGAACAACCTCCAGAATGACATATGTAACGCTTTCCTAAAAATGGACTTCTTTAGTATTTGTTTAAATGTTACACCGACATCATGTCAAATACTTAAAGGGACAGTTCACCCCTAATTAAAAATAAATGTTTTTCCTCTTTCTAGATTGTTCTGATGTGACTTGCCAAGTGTTCGAGGTATCAGAGTCGTAGAGATGTCTGCCTTTGTTTGATTATAATGGAACTAGATGTCACTCGGCTTGTGGTGCTTAAAGGAGAAAAAAAAAACATCTGAAAAACTCAAAAGTAGTGTCTCTTTCCAGAAATCATGACCCAGTTACTTAAGATTTTCTTCCTACCAACTACACAGCCGTATCATTGCACAAAGGGAAGCAACTACTCTTGGATGAGAGGCTTGTGCTCGTGACAGCATGTAAAAATTATTGGCGTCCTCCACGGCTGAGCTGTAATGTTGGCTAGCTCAGTGGTGCTAGGTGAGCTAGCATTAGATGCACGCTTCCTTCTGCTCACAATAAGGTCTGTGGATTATCTTGAGTGACTGGGTCGAGATTTCTGTAAAGAGACACTGCTGTTGAGTTTATCAAGTGTATTTTTTTGCCGCTTTGAGCACCACAAGCTGATTGCCATCTAGTTCCATTATATTGGAGAGAAGGCAGACATCTCTACAGCTGATATCTCCAACACTTGGCAACTCACACCAAAACAATCTTGACTGATAAACAGCACTACATGTAAGAGGAAAAATATGTATGTTTGATTTTGGGGTGAACTGTCCCTTTAAATGGCTCTCGCAAGCTTTCAATTGAATTAATAAATTTGGGTGACTGTGACAGTGATGACAAAAATGACTCCGCATTCAGTGTCAGGGCATCTACATGATGTGTTGGTGACCACAACAGGTTAGAGTCTGTCTTTAAAACGAGCTTTTAATGCAGAGACGGAAACCCAGCTGCTCATGACACACAAATCACATTCAAAAGTGAGTCTTCACCTATAGGTCATCTCTGATCTTTTTGAACCGAAGATGTTTTTGGCACTGAAGCGGTTCGGGGAAATCCCGGCCCTCTCTTCACCATTTGATTCGTTATGATCTGTGGGATAAAGCAGCTCTGTACTCTGAAAGGCTTAGTGTTGGAATGATGATAAAAACTTGTGGCATCATTTCTACTGTATTGCACTTTACCCCCCGTGTTTTTATAACTATCCAAACAATGCAAGACATGCCCGCTACATAGCATTTAGGAACCTCGCCTTTGGATGTTTCCTCCTACTAAGCAGAAATGTACCACTGAAGCGACTGGCTATGCATGAACAGATACAGGGCGGGGACAAAATAACACAAACACTAATACGGTCTGCCAGATTTGATGCTGTTATTGTAAAGGCTGCGTTTCTTGTCTGACTTTGTATGCATCATCATCATCACTCATGTCATTTGTGAGTGATTCCCCTCATCCCATGCTGCATTTCCTTCAGACTGACATTAGCAGCGCAGCAGGCTGGTCCCTCAGTGATTTGAATAACAAATAGATGTTTTTCACATCATGCCATGTCAACAGGGAATTTGTCTTGAGGATTTGCTTGGCTCAGAAAGGATCATTTTTCCTGCCAATAAGTAGGTGGAGAGCCAAAATAATAAGAACCAATGTTAGAGTGATAACTGTAATACAGCTTGTGCCCTTGTGCTTCCATTATTCTGTCCACACCCTGTGTTGGTTATCACAGACAGTTTACACAACGACCACCTCTGAATGAAGTGATATTTTCAGTCAGTAAGAATAAATGTCAAAACCTCCTCATGATCATGATTTTGTTGAATACAGCTATTGTTTTTTAAAACAAATGTCTGTGCTGCTTGACTTTTCTTTTGACATAATGTAACTCAAGGATTTCAAAAGGAAAATTAGCTCTGTGATAGGGCTGTGTTTCCATAGCAACCCCGGGGGTGAGTGGGATACCATCGCACACCCTGAAATCAGTCATCACAATGTCAGAAAGCATTTCTGTGAGGAGTCTGATCTGCTTTACATGATCGCAGACCAGGCATCCTCCCAGGGCTCATTCAAGGAAATCAGATTCTGTGGTTAAAAAAGAAAAAAAAAGAAGAAGAAGAAGAAAAAAAAAAAACACTCTACAGTACATCTATGCTGCAGGACTTAATGCGACGTTTGGCACTGAAAAATGTATAGGTCCATATTATATACAATGTAAAATTATCAATATCTATTCACACAAAAACATCATAGAGTAGAGTGCATGAGGAGTGTTTGGCTAAAAGTCAACCAGGACTCTACACTGCAAACACAGAGAACCAAAAACTGTTCACTATTCATCAACAGTTTTTGATCTCTGGCACGTTCAGGAGAGCTTTAGTGTTTTCAATGTCAGAGTCAGTCAATTAAAACCTCTCACAATGCTTCCTTCAGATGCCAGATACTGTTAATGCTGCACCTTTTGTCACTCGCTGGCGCCGCACAGACGGAGCCTCAGTGAGAAAAGGTGAAAATGTGTCGGCATATTAAAGCGTTGTACTGCCTCAGCCCTGGTTGCTGTTTGCGTTACATAATACGCTACCACACAATAACCAAAAAAAGCTCCACATCATACACCTAAATAACTATGGCATGTATCCTGGATATACATGCAGCACGGGGCAGGTATGTGATATGCAGATGAACTCAAAGGAGACTATCAATGGGGCAGAGATCGTGGCCATCAGGTTATAAACACATCTAACTCCTCTACAGATGGTTTTGTGTTTGTAACTGAAATGATGAAGAGGCTATCAAGTCCTTGTTGACCTCCCAGGGGGTGGACGAGACTTGAAAGACAGAAATAAAGGAACATTCCACCTGCTAAACAGGCTCATAAATAACCAAAATCACAAGAACAAAAACAGGGGCATATTCAGTCCAATAGATACTGTACAAACTAATTACAGCTTCCTCTTCTCTCCATCTCAGCTTGGCAAATCTCCATTTTGCTGCGCAGAATCTCCTCCTGTAGACGGTTCAGAAAGCGTGTGCAGACTTCAATCCTTTATAAACACATGTTCAGTGTTATAAAGCCTTTAGAGAACAGGCAGCTCTGTGTCTTCGTGGGTTTCCTCAAAACACATGGCACCTTATTGTCCACTTGGCACCACTGCTGGTGGTGTGATTTTGTTGCGGTGTATGTGTGAGTGTGTGGCATTCTGCTGTGCAAAGCGTCACACATACTCGGTGCTCGCATTTCCACTGCGCGGTGTCCAGTGTGTTTGTGTATGTGTGTCTATGAGGGTACGTGTGAGTGTGTGTGTGTGTGTGAGTGTGTGTGTGTGTGTGTGTGTGTGTGTGTGCGTCTTTAAGCACGTGGCTCCAGCTTGTGTGACAGTTCGAAAAGCGTCTGTTGATTGTCGATAATGTGCAGGTATTGAACACTTGCCCTCAACTCCGCACTGTCGACCCCGATTACCTCGTTGCCTAAGAGACAGACATAAAACACGCACATTAGTCACACATAGAAGAGTTTTCTCTGCTGGAAAACACACGTTCACACACATTTGGAACAAACACAGACTGTATTATGGCCATATAAAGAGAGTAAAAGGCTGTCTGGAAATGGTTGCTTAGAAACTGTAAGAGAAAACGGAGTGGTACAGGTGCAGTACACAAACTCAGCTGCAGGTGGCGGTACAGCCCTCACAACAAGTGGATCCACCAATACTTCAGTCAGAATCTGGTTTATTGCAAGCAATCTGTCTTGGTGTATTGGTGCATACCATAGTAAGACAAAATGAACTGGAGATACCACCTAGTGGTTGAAAGCCTCCGCCAACCAGTCAAGTTGCACTTTTCATCCACGTTTATCAGACTCATATGTAGCCATGACAGTAAGCAATGCTTTAAATGTGGATGTTGCTGCAAAGATGCTACAAAATTTAAAACATTGATGCTTCAAACACATCTTCAACTTGGCAGCACAACAGATCTGTGCAATCAGCATAGTTTCAAGGTGGACACCCAAGATTACTGTCACCAGTTTAGTATGTGACCAAATGTCTCTCCTTCTGTTCCTGACTTAAAGGGACAGTGCACCCAAAAATGAAAATTCAGCCATTATCTACTCACCCATATGCCGAGGGAGGCTCAGGTGAAGTTTTAGAGTCCTCACAACATCTGCGGAGATCCAAGGGGAGAGGGGGTAGCAGCACAACTGCATCTAATGGAGGCTTATGGTGCCCCAGATTCAAATTCTACAATGAGGCTAAAAACAGAGTTCAAATGGCGTTTTTCCAAACAACTTTTTATGTCGGGGCTTCAGGACACCTGGATCACTACGGACGAGCAGTATGGAGATATTTTGTGGTTTCAATTATGTGTTTTTGGACGTTTGAATCTGGGGCGCCGTAAGCCTCCATTAGGTGCAGTTGTGCTGTTACCTCCTCTCCCCTTGGATCTCCGCAAGTGATGTGAAGACTCTAAAACTTCACCTGAGCCTCCATTGGCATATGGGTGAGTAGATAATGGCTGAATTTTCATTTTTGGGTGCACTATCCCTTTAAGATGTTGAATACTGGTTTTATTGCCGAACATTATGATGTCAGAGTGACGTTGACCTCTGACTTTCTGGATATAAAATGTCACAACTTCATCATTTTATCCTATTAGACATTTGGGTGAAATTTAGTCATAACTAGTTATTGTTATTGTTATTGAATTCTTGGGTTAGGGCAAACATGTTTTGTGAGGTCACAGGAAACTTTGACCACCAAAATCTCAACAGTTCATCGAGAATGTTACGGACATAAATCGTAGTGACCTTGACCTTTGACCACAAAATGTAATTAGGTTATCCTTTGTCCTTAAGGCGGACACATGGACAACCTGAAAACATAGTGCCTTTGGCCAAGGCTGTCACCGGTGCGGAGGCATAAAATTAAAAGCAAGTATTGCAAAAATCAAGAAGCATAAATATAGAATGAAAGAAAATTACCACAAAAAAAAGGAAAGAGTGCTTTAGGTAGAAAATATGTACAATATATCAGAATTAAAATGAAAGAGCTGTGCACCCAAACCTAACAGTTTGTCACAAGAGGGGAGACTATGAGCCTGTAGAGCCCCTGTACAGTAAGCCTGTCTTATAATTTGTGATGTTCACATCATTGCAACAGAATTCACTCTGAAGTGGGAGGACTCACCTGGCTGGTCGCTCTGGCAGTGGCGAATCATCCTCACTGTGTCTGCGATCATATGCTGTTGGTTTAGGAGAAGACACGTTGCATCAGTGCAATACCAAACAGTCGAGATCTAATAGTGATGGTGTGTTGAGGTGAAATGCAAAACACAGCTTGGTCTCAGAGAATTTGGCCTCTGTAAATAAAGGTTTCGGTCATTCAATCAATCAGTCAAGTTGTTAATCTGACTCCTCTTTCAAAGGCCACTGCCTTCTGATAGAGTTTTCTACTCTCAGGCCTGACAGATTCACCACCTTTCCACTAATTTAATTCTGCTTTTTACTGACCAGGACTGAGTAGAGCTAGCC